AAGTGCTACGTGAATTTGAAATGCGCAAGGTTAGTTTGATTGTACATCTGTGCGCAGGCGATGATTGGTCGGATCAACCAACCATTCAATGAGGGCTAATTTCAAATTCTCGGAAGTTCCTCCAATGAGATGTGTAGACATCATCGGGAACAAATTGGCAACTCATATCGCAAACTCCCTTCGCAAGTTTGCTTAAGAAGAGACTTTCGGAGCTTGTGTACTAATAACTTACGTTAGTTCGGTTTGACTAGGCACAAGCTTTGGGCGATAACTCTTTCGTGTAGGTAATGAATATGCAGGCGTTCACAAAATACACAGGAAAAGCACGAAACGACGTACACAAGCAGATTGGCTCCTGCACCAACAGACTTGGCCGCGGAGAATAGGCCCTCGGTCCAACGGTTGTGGCGTTTGTAGAACTCTTTGACCGTCGCAGTTCCCTTTTCATTACAAAAAAAGATGGATAATGGCGAGACGCAAATTTAGCAAACTGTAGCATGAGCCACAACTAGAGACCTGGGGTTCCTTTCGATTGCAACAGCGAATCCACATTGCTGTGCAAAAAATTAACGGGTTCCCATTAAAAATACGCCGCTAAGGGGGACTACAACGACATTTCGGTGGTTCGGTCGCTGTTACTCTGTTATTAACACGATTGGCCTCTGACATTTGAACGATGGGGACAGATGAGCACAGACACGAGTTTCTTGCTGTCAACCCTTTGGGAGATTTGCTCTACTTTTACATTCCATCAAGGAGGATGAATGGATGGATACAACAAGTGCACATTTCACTTCTTCAGGGGTGGTGAAAGCGATCCGGAGCTGTGAAATCACTTAGCATGATTGTGAGCCCGCGTTGAACACTAAAATTGATACATATGCCAATGCCTCAAACGAATCATACTTTAATCATGCAAGCTATAAGATTAGATAGCAAAAATTACGTTGAATTTGCAGTAAGGTGTGTTTTCAAACGCAAAGAAACTTGCCCTGCCCTCATTGACGATCTCTTCTTGGAGTTCACGGGACTTTACAACCAGCAGAGCAATGGCAGACATCAATTCTGTGCAGCTATCCAGGATCTTGCTGTGCACCTCCAACTGAATGCCCGTCATCGAGGCCTTGGACTCCTCCAGCAACTCCTGCAAGGATAACAAAATGCCCTGCTTACTTCCCTTCATTCCACACAGCCAGAAATAGGCAACGCGAAGACGCTTCAAGAACACAAGAGTGAGTGACCAACCAACAAGAGCCTCATTTGAACTAAACAATGGTAAATTTTCTGGCAACAGAGCGTATTGGAAGCGCGTAGTTGGCTACTTTCATGACTAACTGACAATATGAGTTTTGACCTATCAGTGCTGGAAAAGTCGCTGAATTTGGTCAGATCCAGAGTAGGCTGAGTTTGAATTGATGTAAGACAACATTACAGGACGATGGACCGGCTCTCAGCACAGGTCTTTGCGGAACTGAAGGCAAGGCAATTGGACAAGCAAGCAGTGACTGTTGGTAGAGGCTTGGGAGACGCCGACTTGCTATAAACGCGAGTTTTAAAAGACAACCGCAAATGCCGTGCAAGTGGTATTCAATCCGTTAATCACAGCGCTACGAAGTCCCAACTGCACTTGTGTCTGGTGCCAAATCTTTAAACTGAAATCATGGATATGGGTGGGGTAATTCGTGCGGTCAGACAGGAAGTCGGTAGCACCGGGCGAAACAAAAGACAGGGCTGACTTGCAGTGGAAATTGAGATCTTCAAGTTGCGCCCAGTTTTGGCCAACCAACTGACTGAGTACCATTTGGAGGTGCTACACCATGTAAGCGGTGGTCGACTACGTGAATCGCGGTCAGAACACCACGCTTCGCCCCGCAGGGGTTCAAAATGTAGCAGCGAGGGTACCGTATGTAGTATCGGTGAACCAAAAGACATCCGTACTTCACAACTGGGGTGCCGGTGCAAGACCACGATGCAAAAAGAAATGGCGCCTTTTCGAAAACGGCAAGCGAAAGGAATGAGCTGACGAGTAAGCCACAACAATGAGAATTTCGGCAAAGTGGGGTAGAAAAAATTTGCTGGTGCGGTGAGAGGTCACGAAATAGGACTGAGAGTGCCTAATTGATAGAAAGCGATCGAGAAAAACGAGCGGACCTGTGCGGGTTGTCTCGACGTACCCTGAACCTGGCCTCAGCCCTCGCTATGAGCTCCTCGGTGTGCCGCATCTCCTCTTCCAACGAGCCCGCCAGATCGTCGAGGCTGACGTCCCTGACTTGCGGCTTGAACTCCTTCGCGAGGACCTGAATGCGCCCAAGACCGGCCACTAGACTGTCCACGTGGCGGACAGCCTCCGACCGCCGCAACTGATCGAGTTCACTCGACGACGCGTTGGAGTAAATCGCGAGGCTGTCGCTGAGACAACGCCTGCATAGCGCCGCAAGTTCTACAACACAAGTACCGTGATTATCACAGGGCGGTGTGTAGTAACACTGAGTGAGCAAGCTCCTCTACCTAACGATTGTTAGAGTAGCCTCCACTTCGAGTCGGTTTCACCAATATTAAGGTGATACAGTGCGGAGTAGCAATCGACTAGCTGGCAACTTGAAGCCAGTTCAAGGGAACAAGCTTTCGCAGTTGCGACTCTGTGTAGGAGTTCATGGTGTTCAAACGCCATGGCTACTTGCCACTAATACAACCAAATCCAAGTTAACTATTCTGTGGAAACCCGAAAGAGTTGTCTTCGAATTTGAGCGACATTTTCTCGACTCCACACGACCCCTTATGTATTCATGTTGACCAGTACATTCCTGATTCGTCGTCTTTCTTCGCGTTCAAGGAAATGACCAATGCACTTTCCTCTTATCGACATTCTGGTGTCGAATGAAATGCGCATCTAGATCAATGAACTCAATTCACGTTACGCATTACCTGAATACACCAACACTTGCCATCAATTTGAATTGCGAAAAATGTTTTTTTTGTGTCTAACGAGGGCGAATGGCAGATGAGATCTTGAGGAAGCTGGTGCAATGCAACCGATCGTGAGCGACATTTCGTATTGCTAAAGAATACGGCGTTTCAGTGACATCGTCTTTCCTACCACCACCTAGGGCAAGATTCGAACATGCAACAAAGTTGGCCGAAGCGACTACCCCAACTCACCATCGGACTTCTCAATTGAGGCAGCAGAATTGGACAGGGCCTTGGCGTGCAGCACCGCCTCGTTGAGGTAAGCCGCAAGGCTGGCGACTTCCAGTGGCAGGAGGTCAGAATCTGTCAAGGAAAATAAACACTTGCCAATGAACTAAAGCAATTTCTTGATACCAACAAGTAGGCCACGTGTTCTTAACAAAGAAGTAGTGACAATACGAGATCTCAGGTTTCAGAAACAGGCAGCAGGTACAAATCGGACTAGAACACTGTGCTCTGAATAGCACCAGGTTCGGTCAGAGGAACAGGAACGGAAATACCGAGAACAGTCACCGGAAAAAGGAGACACTAAAAGATGATGATGGTACTAGACAGATTTGCTGCAGTAAATGTATAGCCATCACCAGTAATTTTTTCCCGATTGGACAGAAAATTCACCAAATAGCAATGTCAGGAATAAGTTCTTCAAGGGGGAAATGACTAGTTCATTGACGGAAAAACATGTTAGATTTTACGACTAGGAAGAACATGCAAATTTGCCAGACGGCGGTTGAACTGCGAACAGGAAATGTACGCCTGCTGCTGCGCCCTGCATGTCTCGACGACCGGAGGCAACACAGGCGGTGTGTTGTGGGCCCCAGCATGTGGTCGCGAACCACGCCGGGGCCACGGAATTAACCCTGGCCCGATTACGCTTCCCAGATACCCGCGATGAAGAAAAGACCAAAGATGACGTGGACACAACCTTTTACTTCAGAGGTCAACCACGTTGGTGTCGTTGTGTCGTGTGTGGCATTTGCGCGTGCGTATGTAAGCCTCAAATGTGTGAGACCTAGGTATGAGGATAATCCAGGATAACTGGTGTTGCTAATGAGGGGGGAGTTGAGGGTCGTCCGCGCGGCAGGCGACATGCTGCGAAAACGGGGACCCTGTGTCGGAGGCTAGAGTGATCGGATTAGCGAGTGTGAATCAACACGATTCACAACAGGTGTTTCGAGTGCCTGATGTAGCCCTGCCTTCGTGAGGAGGGAAACGGCAAGCGTTGCCAAGAGCGGGGAGCCGACGCAGGCGACGGTCTGTTGCGAGTGGTTTGATTTGACACATCAAAAGAACTACGAGCGTCAGTTCGGCAGCAGATGGTAAATGAAAGTTAATTGAAAGTAAACACAGGCTAATTGACACGAGGGCTCACAGAGGTCGTGTGAATGTATGACGAAATACAGAGCGCAGAGTTGTAAAAGACCTGTTAGTGACAGCTTTGTTGTTTGTTGTGAGTCGCTAGTAGTAGTCCCTAGCCGAATTGAAGCAAACACGCATTGAGGAGACATGGGGTTTTGGAGATTTTTAGGTGACTTGGGCACACACACTAACCAGGTTGTTACTAGAATGGTTCGCAATGATGAAGTAACTTCATTTAAAAACTGTAATTCCACATCCACTCGATTTTCGATGGGCACACGACGTCAGACTGCCCACGTAATTCAAGCGTGTGATGTAAACCAAACGATTAAAAGAACTAAATTACAATCTACGAAGTCCGAAGGCTAGATGAAGTAATGTCGCATGCTGTGTTAAGTGAGCGGTGAACTAGCGACCATTGCATCAAACAACACCACGCGTGGAACACTTCCAGGAATCCAATTGATACACGTCGGTCGGAGGCACCGAGGTACCACGACAGCGATAGACTTCAGAAATCGCTGATCACCCTGAAAGGCCTGTTAGAGTCTCGTCTAAATCTCCTCCACAAAATCAGTCCCATGTCACCTAGAAGTTCTTGAATTCATTTCAAGCGAAACAGCGCAAGATTACTATGGAAATAAATTGTTGTTGCGATAATTCAGAGCTCACATTTCACTCAGGATTACGGACAAGTTAACGTATAAAAGGTTTTGAGGGAATTTAGGGTTTTGATGAACTCGCCTTAACAAGAACACCGTAGAGTTGGGTCTAAAATGATGCATCGATCGATCCAGCTTCGACCCTCTCTGTAACCGGTTATTCCAATTAGATTTTGCCACTTTTTTAACAACGCTACTTTTACTATCGTCCGCACGCTAATTCCAGTCGTCATACACGGGTTCGTGTGTGTGGATGCTGGACGTGCTAGCGTGTCGAGAGTCAACTGTACCGGATGCTTGTTCAGGAGTGTGGCACGAGTCAATGTCTTCAAATCGCACACAATTTTACCAACTTCACATCTTTATGCCAGCTAAAGATTCTAAAATCACCATTTTTATGTTGGTATTTGTGTACATCTTCCTTGTTTGCGAGTGACGAGTTAACTTGACAACTGTCTTAGCCAAAAATGAAACCAACGAAAGTGAGTCTGCCTTCCAATCATGACGGCGAATGTTGTCAGACACCTGTCTGTCTGAATGTCTACAGTCAGCACATAGATACAGGTCTGTTGGTGACCAAATGAAGGCACCAGACTCACCGGTAGCATTCGCATCGGAAAGGATTTCTTTCAGAAGAAGCAACTTTGCACTGGCCATTGCGCCGAAGCTGGTGACGAGATCTAACGTGAGGATTGGAAAAATTTCGGTCATTATAAACAGTAAGCATAAACCACCAATATAATCACATAATTCCAGGCAATTACAGCCTTCTTAGGGTAGTTACCAAGATGGTACATTAAGTTGTGCAGTTTCTACAGCCACCACAAGGCCTTCAACAGGGCGTTTAGATTAATATAGCAAGGTAATTTTGACGTTCGCATTTTTTAACAAACCAGATTTGTCAATTTTCGAATGTTGAGATAAACGACGATTCACGCATTGTACGATTGTAAATGAAGGCAAATATTGCATTTGCCTTGCTTGCGACGCACATATGTACAAAATTTTAGTGAGTTTACGAGAGGTAAGCATTTTCATAAGAAACCAATTTCCGAAAAGTTGGTGACAAGGAAGGCTCAAAACGATGCAACATAGTTCACCCAGAAACACAAGAGCAGTCTGCCTAGGCATAGTCGGCATCGCCTAAGTTGCCACAAAGCTACGTGTTTCGACACAGACTAAGACAGGTTCCTATGTGGGAACGCTGAACCTGGTCAATTTGAATGTTGATTCGCTTGAAGGGTTAATCGCAGGTGAGGAAGTTTACAAGGCACATGACAAGAGGAAAACAAATTTTGCACTTCAATTTGAAATTGGTAGTGAAATAACAACGAGGGACTCACAAAATGTTACGTTTCGCCTTAGATGTTTTGGAGCAAGTCCCTGACCAACATCGCAGTGTCAAATTCATTAAATACATCTAGGAAATTGACTTGATGCAATTCACCAGACCTCTAGGCATTAGTTAGTGCAGTCTGGCGTGTACCAATGTGCATACCTTGTCAATTAATATCAAGATGATATCCAGCAAATGACATCCAGAAGCAAGTGGGGAAAATGAATAGCACTTGTCTGCGTTGGTCAAAAACGTCGATTTTCGAAGTTGGCTAAGGGGCGACACACGAGGCCCCCTAGCGATTTCACGTTATCACCTTCAAACACAGACACCGACCTGGAATTACGGATAGTCTCACGATTCCACTGGTTCCCCAGATAACCAGACTACGTGGTTAGCATTACGTAGGGAGCAAGGACATATCATTTAACCGACTTCGCATTGGTACCAAGTAAGTTACTTTCTCGTTGCCAGGTTGCGATTTGGGTTTGCTGTTGTACGAGCTTAAACTCAAAACTAACCGGCATAACTTCGACACTGAACAAAGTCGGGATTATCGAGGAGAGCGGCGATGGCGTTGGAGGCCTCGGTCGCCTTGTCGCATGCTGCGCGACGCAGACGCTCCATCAACTCATTGCGTGTCTAAGAGGAAACAAAAGTTCGATTTCGTTTCAAACACTGACAGTGACCTTTAACCTGTAAAACGCATATTTCGTTTGATAACTCAGAGGCTGCAACATTTAGTACGTCGTCCATGACTTATCCGTTGTTTAGATTCTGATTCTTGCTGAGCACTACATACAATTTGCTCCCCCATTGATACAGGGAGAGAAGCACAAACGATTATAGGGAATCATCATAATTATTATTGAGCGGTTTGTCATTCAAGCAGTTTTGCAAACTTATTGGCCTGAAACTGATGACATAACTTCAGGACTATATGGGGTTTGAAATACCAATTTCCAATTGACCTCTAATCATATTCCACAGACCGTTAAACATCTGATTGGTCATTTGGAAGTAGTTCCGCTCAACTCTTTTTATCATTACAGAAACAAAAAGCATGAAAAAATGTCCGCTTTTTAATTTCAAATTGATTTTTTCCACTAGACTAAGGGCTGAAAGCATAATTACAATGGCAGCACATCAAAACAGATTACTTTTGCTGTAAGGCTATAAATGACAGCAATCAATGTTAATAAAATGCATGGTTTAATCGCCAAGTTTAACTTGCTTGAAGACGCGATTATGGGACTTAGAACGCGTAGAAAACACGCGCTTGTGGTCCCACGCACAGAGGTCACGAAGCCACAAAATCGCGATAAACATTAACAGCATCGGGTAAGCTCACCTGAGAATCACCGCAGTTGTTTGGTGTGGTTTGGAGTTGACTACATTGAGCTTGAAGGCCGCTTAGCTAAAGAAAAAGGCGACAAGGGACAATCAAAGTTCACAAGGTAAATGTAACTCATGGAGCTCTCGTAGTAATTATAAGGAAAGGGGGAACAGACAAGGAGAGACTCGTTGGACAGTTTAGGCAACATCGACAACCCGACCACGTGCAGATGCAATTAGGCTTTTAACGCGGCTTGTGATGGCTTGTCACACCTGCACAATGATAGTTTTTTATACACTCGTGACTCATGCAGCTCTAGGAGAAATTATAAGGGGAAACACACAAGGAGACCTTTTCAATTGTTGCCGGTGGTTCAACATTCAACAGCCACATGACCACAATCCAATTCATTTACGACTTGGTCATCACTAAATTCGGTGCGTCGACTAGAATTCTGGTCACACAAGAAAGGAAATTTTCGACAATCGCGTTCTATTGAATAATTGGCACCAAAAATAGCAACGAATTTCATTGAAGATCTCTGCAGTTTTCTTGTTTTGGTGGGAATTAGAAGATGGAACGATGTAGAACATACCATTTTTTGCATTTTCTATTAAAACTGGTCCCAGACAAACGGTTGCAATGTAAGTCTCCTGAAATTTGTCTTCTAAAGTGAGCTAAATTGACAGTTATCTAATTTAAACAGAAGCTATTTATGTCGATAACAGAAGTCCTTCAAAATAAACATGACAGTGATCGTTTCAAAACCGAAAAACACATTTGCCCATCATAGGTGTGTGTGTGTGTGTGCAACATCTAACAAAAAACACAGCGCACCAAACAACGTGAAGTTCGTAGAGTCAGTGAATCGACGTGAAATTTCGGAGAATTAAGGTCGATTTAGATGTTGCCAAGCAAACAGTTAGTGCGCACGGTGACCTGGTAGGGGCCAAAACAATGCCATTTGTGCGGCATCATGTGTGAACAAAATGCGTGCCGTGAAGTGTCCACGTGAGGGAAGGGTCTACGTCAAGCACGCGATCTAACCTGCTTGAGTGTTTTCACGTGCTCGTCACGGAGTTTCGCGTAGGCATCGCGAACCTTGACGTACTTCTCCTCTGAGGCAGACGACGTGGCAGTCCGGTTCCTCACCTCGTCAATCAACACCGTCAGTTGCTGAAAAAGGGCAAAATAAGACACGAAAAAATTCCTAATTGAGTATCTCCCATGAAGGCTCTGTTTGGACGGCCAATAAAGTTTGGGAAGGAGGTTGGAATCCGCGATAATCATGACGACTACCGGTTATCGTTCACCGCCTCTTGTTTAACTGCTGTAGTGCGCTTGCTGAGCACACAGCACAATTGCAGCAGTTTGCCTAGGATTAGGAGTTAAATTTGCCGTTCACCGCAACAGAACAAGCGTTTGTGTATCGACTGTGAATACGCAACGAGCATGCGATTCAAGATTTTATAAAGGCGTTCTGCCAGGGATGCAGATTTGAGTATAAGAAAGACTGTTTGAGACTGGAAGTTCCAAAAAACATGGTGAAGAACATGTCTGAGAACCTGGATCACCAGGTCAACCGTGTCATTTACCGTCTTCAAAACGTCCAGCCGATAGGGACATCTCAAACTGATAAAGTTTATGACACAACCTGTTCAGACTTCAAAGTATTTAACCAGACAAAAAGGCACGACTTCAAGCAAACCGACTATTATATTTAGAGATAGGCAGAGGTTGTTCGATCGACATGACGGAGTTTAATCAAAAAACGGTTCGGCAACTTCATCCTGGCTACCGTCCCTCTTAATCGATGTAGCCTTGCTTTTCAACCTTGCCAAATGATAGTAAAATAGGGCGTTACAATTTGCGAACAACTTGCACGCACAGATTCCTCTAGGTTGTATTAATGCTGTTTTGTGTAGCCGATTTTACCAATAAATTGTTACATCGGGAGACAGGTGACCCAGGAGTTCAGACAATTGTCTCGAAAAATTACGCACAGACACGAATTCACACCAAATCTAAGGTTGGTTCGACTGTTGTTTAATACAAAGTCTTCTAAGGATGGTGGGAAGTAGTAAGAAGGGGAAATTGGAGTAGTTCTATCGATTTCCGGATTCGGTTATTCCATTCTACCCCAGCAAAACGCAGAACGACAGGCCAGATCAGCAAAAGATCGGTTCTGAGGATCTAACGGAACGGTGTGAAGGAGTTAGCGGAATACTTTTAAATGCTTATGGCAAACTGGGCTGTGGCCTTCGGTAACGCAGAAACAACGACTAATCCATCAAGAGGAGCGATACTCGAAAGGATCCTTTGAGGAAAGACGTGGGAATTTTGTAATTTTATCAACACTGGAGCCGTCAAATCGTCCCACGCACGACTTACGGCACGTGCAGTACACTGACAATAATTTGGCGATAGGAAGGGATTCAGTCTCCCGTCGCGTGATTACCGTGCACCTGGCGAGTAACTAGCTGGCACAAAAAAAGCAAAGCGTGAGTGCAACAAACCTCGTCTTGTCTTGATTTCACCTGAACAAGAGTCTTTATTTCTTTCTCCAAGGTCCTAATCCGATCGAGCAGGTGGTCCTGAATGTTTCTGCCCTAAAGTTTGAAAAAAAACCACCAAGTAGCACAGTTTTTCCGCCTTAAAGGTGCAGGAAAATTGATCGTAAATGACTGCTCCCAGTCAAAAATGGAACCTCTCCTACCTCGTTTTGCACCCGCTGGACTTCAGACTTGAGCATTTCAATTTCGAGCAGGTATTCACTTCTAGGGAAGAATCAACAATGAGATTACCAGTGAACAGATGAGCACAATATTGGCGGCCATCACGCAAACACTTTACAGGTGGAGCTGATCAACAGAAGAATCAAACAAAGTGGTGCTCTAGAAAATGTCCCAACAACACACCATTTGGCCCTTTCGACTGGCATTGGTTTGTCGACCAAAAACACACGGCAGTAAAAGTTACTCAGTGTGTCCCTACACGACGCAGCAAGAAGCAATTAGATGCGCGAACAAACACCTGATTAATTTGGCCGACGAAGCAGTTGACATTTTTATTACTTGGGATGGTGAGAAGCAAGACATAAACGGGACTTACTGGGCAAGTGCGGCGCTTGCAGATGGGGTTACGTCAAGAATCCCTCCTAAGGTGGCATCGGACACCTCATTCTTCCACTCTTCGTTGCCAACACCGGCGGTCTGAGAAGTGAGGGAAGAAGCTTTGTATATATACAGTCATGATCAGAGATGGGGTCCACAATAGTTCGATAAGGGATAACCCTCAATCGGTCACATCAAGGTCGAGTCACAAACTCGAGGAACACAGAGATATCGGTCAACAGGATGGTCTAGCGCTTGGAAGCTAATCGATCATCGGTGTGCACGTGTTCCCTGTGTTAATGTGACAAGGTCAACTACAGAGGATCGTTGGTATCGTGATTCCAAACTCAGCAAACTGAACCAGGGTTTTGCTCTTCTCGGGACATGTGACCAAGATGAAGTCATTTCCACCATTGTGGTGGAACACAAGGCTCGTACCGTTTGTCTATTCTCGCCACTTCTCTCAAACAGGTTTTAATAGCCGTTGGTCGTCTGGTTTCTTGGATGCACTCGAAGCGCGCAGAACGCAACTCTGCTAACCAAACACAACGAGAAGCTTCATCATCGTGATGTTAGACGACGCAGTTTCCACCAAAAAGGAATGATTCAGACATTCATGGTTTCGATTGGTTGACCTTTAAATTGAAATATCAAAAAGGGGAAAAGCACTAGATTGACGAAATTTTTCAAGGCAATAACTGCGTGAATCGAAAGATCGTGTTCCGTGTCAGCAGAAATTAAAACAGTTGAAATTTCCCACTGATAGTTAATAGGTACTTACCTCGGTGGTCTCCAGATCGACCAATTGGCCATCTGGTTCCGGGTCTGCGGTTTCAATTACCTTGATCGACTGAATTTGACCCGTGGCATCCAGGAAATTGGGCGGGCTCTAGAAACGTTAAGATCAGTTTCTCAGAGAATTGGTCCCGATTTATGCGGAGGTAGTAACTTAGGAACGCTGTTGTCTTTCAGTGACGCACACAACAACACCAGACAGCGCAGTAAACGCTGCGATTCATCTAGCGTGTGCGCGGCAACTGTATTGTCTGTTTCCTCTTAGCTACCGGACTCTTTTTGGTTGCAGAAACTACAGATGTTGGGTACCAACAGCATGGCTAGATTTGAGTGTGGGAAAAACCACAGTGAGTAACAATTGGGGTGGTAGTGAAGTGGCCCGTGAAACATGGGGTCTCACGGGCG